TAGTACTATTCTTTCATGCTGTGGACTGCACTCTGGCTATCGGGAAAGATGAGATGGGTTTTGGGCAGACTTGCAAACTTTCCATATCCCTGAGTTTTTTGTTCATTGAATATAATTAACCTCATGCATTGCCTCATCAACCTTGCCATTAGTACTTAGGGCTAAATGTTGTTGTTGCTAATGATTTTCCATTTTATTATGCATGTATTTTTATTATCATGCACTTTAAGTCATTTTTGGAAAAGCTTATATATAAATGTATGACAATGTTTGCATGTGTACATTCACGGGGTCTTCAAAAAATTCATGGAAAATTCACATTATGAAAAAAAAAAAGCCTAGCATATATTTCAAAAACATTTGCACCAAAATAAGTTAGCAGTAGTAATAAACAAATTATTTAGTGGAACTATATAAATAGGGTGTGTGAAACACTGGGTGGGGTGGGGCGGGCTGGTCAGTTTGGGTTACCATTTCTCTGTGGATAAGAGAGTCATCTCAGAAGCTGAAAGAGAATTCCTGGGATCATCGAGGAAGAAAAGCCCACAGCAAAGCACATTTAAACTCCCTGCCTGAAGTGGTGAGCTGTCAGATGCCACGCCATGCTACGACCGAGGCACCAGAGCAGAGGGGCTGCCGTGCTAATACCAGAGACCACAAGACAGTGAGGCAGAGCAGTGGCCAGGCTTCCCAGAGCAAGGAACAAGACAGAGGCCAAGACACCTTGTAGTTGAGGCTAAGGACCAGGGAGGCACCTGGTTACTGGCTGAGGAAAGGTGATGCAGGGGGATAAAGATCACATCCTTAGGGTTTTAGGATCCTTGTGTGTAGTAACCTGTTAACGTCCTTAGCAAACTCTCATCATTCTGAGTTTTGTGGGTGAGTTGTGGGGTCGTTGCCATGGCTTATCACACCCAGTGGAGAGGTAGAGTGTCCTGGAGGAACGGTTGGGTTGGAAGAACAGAGGATGCAAGCATGTCTGTGCTCTGCCTTATGGCAGTCAGCCTTGGCTACTGTGGAGATGGATTTTCCTTCTCTAAGGGGGAACCAGCGGAGGTCAGGTGACCTGCTCACCATGTACGCAGCTGGGTGCTTTACAGAAAGGTTATGGTGACAACAGCCCAAATAAATCAATTTACAAATGGAAGGAACACATTTATATTGAAGATGGTCACATAAGCAGATCACTCACATCAATTGACAAGGATACAATCTTGTTCTTGGCCTATGATAACAGTAGAAACAATAGCCAATCCATAGATACCTCAGTAGGTTCAATGTACAATTTGGACTGAAACTTAAGAGTTGAATAAACTTGCTGCCATTTGGATGCCAAAACTGTTGAGTCTAGCTCAACTGCAGACAAGTACAGACCTTTCTATGAAAATTTTAAACAAATATGATCCAAACCCTGAGGAATGTTTTAGAAGAATTTTCCAGAATATGAAACATAAGTTTCCCAGTACAATCCAGAAGGGAAAAATACAATCAACAAAATGGCTACCAAAAGGTAGAAGTGGGCCAGTCAACAAACCAGGGATTGGTTGAGAGCAAGGTTGTGGCAACAGTTTTTGAATGCTCAAGGCATTTTACTTAGTTCTCTGGAAGGTCAAAGAACAACAACATCTGTTTAGTATGAGAGCATGTTGAGAACATTAGCCAAAGCTTTGGCAGAAAACCTCCCAGGAAAGCTTAAACAGAGAGTTTTCCCCCACACTGCTCTGTCCTATTCATTTTGCTCATCAAATAAAGGCAATTTTGTAAGAGTTTTGATGGGAAATAATTAGGCATCCAATTTACAATCATGATTTGGCTCCTTCCGACCTCTTTTCATTTTCTAATCTTTAAAAATATCTCTAAAGGGCACCGATTGTTATTCAGCTAGTCACATAAAAAAGATGACATTGGCATGCTTAACTTCCCAGGAACCTCAGATCTTTAAGAATGGGTTAACTGCTGGTATCACTTACAAAAATGTCTTGACCTTAATGAAACTTATTTTGCAAAATAAAGTTTATAGCTTAATTTTTATCTTTTAATTTGATTTTTCCATGAATTTTTATATCCCTTTTTATGTCCATGTATGTTGAATGTAATATACATTATCATTAATAATCATAGAACAACATATCTCTAGAGCAGTAATTTTATTGGTTTTCAGATGTTTCTACCATGCTTGGGGAACCAATTTCTCCAGATGAAACAATGCCCCAAACTTAAAGAAGTACCCAAAAGCCAACTGTCATTTCATTGAATCTGACCCATGCTATCCTATGTAGAGTTTCTAAGATTATAAATCTTTATAACAGTAGACAGCCTCATCTTTCTCCCTTGCTAGTGCATTTGAACCCCTAACCTTGTGACTACTGGTTAGTAGCCCAGTGTCTAACCCACAGTCACACTAGGGATCCTTAGAACAGAACAACAGAATTGAGAAGGCAAGGAACGTTATTTGGCTAAAATGATAGAGGGATAAGGACCAACTCCAGATTCATTTCACAAAACTCACAGCTTCTCCTAGAGCACATATGAAGTGAACAGTGATCAAATTGTTTTATAAAGATCAATAAATGTAGAAACAGGATCACAGAGAAGTTGTGAGTGATCTGAAATCACTTACCTAGTTGGTGACCAGATCGTAACCAAAACTCGGATCCTCAGAGTTCCATCATTAGTTTTGCCACAATAGAAGGGTAGATCCCAATATTGGTTAAAGAAGGGTCTAAGATTTTTCTAAACTTAATAATGCAGAAAATATTATTTTCTCTCAAATTTAACACCATTTCTTTGGTCTGTTTCCTGCAAACCTAATGGATTTTAATTGCTTGACTTTTTGTATACATAATCAAGTGGCCCTGCTTTTTTGCATATCCTGGTGGCATAGTGACTACAGTTAGACTGCAATCCGCAGGGTTGGTGGCTTGAAACCAGCAGCAGCTCCATGGGAGAAAGCCTGGGCTTTCTACTCCGCTGAATAGTCAAAGTTTTAGGAACCCACAGGGGTTGCTGAGTCGGCATTGATTCAATGGAGTGAGAGATACAATTAAACAAGATAGAAACCTAGAAAAGTCTTATTTCTCCTTCCTAGACATTTTTCCAATGACTGCCATGACTGTGCTTCTTCACATTATGCACATTATATTCTGTTAACTACTTACTATCAGTGGGACAAAGGATGGATTCACCTGGGAACACAGTTTATCATACAAATGTCTTCAGATAAGACATATAGATATATAAAGTACAATATACTTGCATGATACATAAACATTTCAGATAGACATAGGTTAAAACATGGAGGGGGGACAGAAAAGACTCATTTTCAAATGATATAAGAATTTCTCAGTCAAGTTTATCACCTAATAATTGACTTAGCATCATGACTTTTAGAAGCAATGCCTCCAACGTTTACCATTTTAACTTATCTTAGTATTTATCTCCTATAACATATGATCTTATTTTAGATACTACATTATTGGCTATTTAATTCACAGAAATAATAATTTAGTGAGGACCACTTCAACATGAATGATCTCAAAGAGCCTAAGAAGAAGTCACCCCCCTCTGGCAGTGAAAGCCTACCGCATCATCCCAAGCACAGGCTGCCTCCCAGTTACCACACTGACTCATCCAGGTGGAAAGCAAATGAGGGAAGTACAGGGTTGGATATTAACAAGGAAAATTCAAGGAGATTACATCCATCTTGAGGCCTCCTGGGACTTTGGATATCTGAGGGACGGGTGTGCATGGTGGGAAGGCAAGTAAATCATTGCCAAAGAGATATGGACCAAAGCAAGGGCTGAACCTTTTCAAAGAGTTTGGGAAATACCTGGCATTAATGAAGCTGGTGCCTGAGTAAAGTCCCCGGGGATTTTCTGAGCCAGAGCTAAGCATAAGATCCAAGAGCAGCCTGGGAGATCACAGAGGGATGAAGAGCCAAGCATAGCTAGCTAGTGCAGAATATAAACAATGAACAAAGCAAAGTTGCTAAGGGTTACCATTTGGCCTCCTGGTGGAGGAGGGGAGATGAAAGGGGCTCACCCAGCTAATTGAAGCATTTAAGGTTTATCCAAAGAAGTAAGTTTTTTGTCCTGGCCCGACCCTGTGATGGCTCGATTGTGCACTGGAAAGCTCTTGAGGTTTGTTTCTGGTCTCAGCCTCCATTCTAGCGTTCTGACAGACCACAGCCTTCCTTGTCTCTAATCTCTTCAATCTCCTTCCAATAATGGGGGTGGGGGTATGTTTAATCTAAGGCTATACATTCACAAGTAAAATTACACTTTCATTTTTCAATGTATCCAATCAAAGAAATGGACCCTATATACCAAAAGTGGCCTTCATATAGATGAATCTTTTACGTCTGAGGGGGGGGCGGGGGGAATGGGACTGAAAAAGCATCTGAATTGGCAAAACAGTGAAGAATTCATGAAAATGAGAGTCACATAGGGGCTTTATCAATGAAAGGATAAAAGATAACAAATCCTTTATCTATGAAAAGACTGTGCACAGAGGGAGGCTTACCCAAGTTATTAAGCATTATGACAGTTTTAAAATCACAAAGCCCTCTATAAATACAGGATTCGATGTGAGTGTTGTCATTCTGGTAATGGGAGAAAGTGGGGCATGTTGATAATCATCGTGAACATGCGTGCCTGTGAATTGCCAGTTTATTAAGTCACCGGGACTCGCTGAGGAGAAAGTTAACCAATGCTATTCGGTCCATTTACAGATAAGAAATTGAGACACAGATGAAGTAGCTTACGAAAGGACACTGTGAACAGGAAGGAACATTCTTACTAAAGTGCAAATATGGTCCACAGAAAAACAGCTGGCACGAGTTGACCTTTTCCTACTGAGCCCAACTGGAAAAGTGAGTGCTGTTTCAGTCGAGGGCTAACTGAGACTAAAGGCAAATGCCCCTGAGAAGAGATCCAGGAGTGCGCAGTGATGGTCTGGAACAGCAGTCAGCCCAGACGACATCGTTGAAGAGCAAGACTTACCTTGCTCAGCTGAAAGGACACAGCGGCATCCTCCTGGCCTGGAGCCAACCCTGGTACTCCAGCACCATCTTCCTTCTCCCTCCTCCTCGCCAATCTAGGACGATAACCACACAGCACTTAGGAAAGAAGCACTTCAGAGGCATGCTCTGAAAAAAAGATTAGCAGGAGGAAAGCATGAAAATAGCTCAACTTAAATAGGAAGCACACTCATAAACAGGAGGATCAAACACCAAAATGAAACGAAGAGGAAATCACAAAACTAAGTCAAAGAGGCTAGTAAGTGAAATCCAAAAATACTACTACGGAACACATTTTCAATCATCAGTCCTTTAATAAAACCATAATACCTTAACTACATGTTCTATAATATTAATTGATCAAAATTAATGAACTACATATACTTTCACAAAGGCAAAAAAGGTATTGCAAACAGATATAACATAAAACAGGTCTTCCAAAAGCACGTTAGACAGATCCTACACAAGGAGCCAGGTGGATTAAGTGAAATGAGTAGTGTACTGCTTTTCTTTATTTTCACATGTACCTTCCAAAAGTGACTGGAGGAAAGACTTCTGTTCATGATGCACAGCAGAGCAGACACATAACAGCATGGAAAGGGGAAACAGGACACCGAGAAACCTCTAGCCAGAGAGGGTAAACAATTGTAAAACTGCAAATGGTAAGAGTGCTTAGGTTAATCACAGAGAATTTCAACTTTAGGAAACTTCCATACTCAACTTAGTATATGAGAGAAATAGTGATGTAATTAGAAAGCTGAAGCAGTACCTGTACCATCAGTAGCTAATTTCCTTTTCGCTTAAGCCCAGGGATACACATGTCCCATGCTACACAGCTAGGTTTATGGTCACTGGCTTAGAGAATGAGTGTTGTCCTGTATTAAAAGTGTATGGGATTCAGGGAATATTTTCCAGCTTGTCTTGTGATCCTAGACCAGATGGGTATTTAGTATGATAGAATGGCCAGCACATCTCCTAATTCGTTAGATGTCCATTTTAATGGGTCAGTGTCCATGCCCTACCGAGTGTTAAATATTTTAAAATAACTGCATCTAGTTAAAAGTGAACCAAACCCTAACCAAGTACTTGTTCACTTCCCTTTATTAAAGTCTTTTAAGATGTCTGGGTATTATTTAGAAAGATGGACTTCTATCATTATGTCTAAGTATTTTCTCTAAAAATTATCCATTGAAAGCAGAAGCACTATTGCACCTGAATGGTAAATCAAATATAAGGAAGATCTTAAAAGAGTGCTAGACAGAGCCAGAGGAAGAATGACACAGTGTGCTATTATAACAAAAGAGGGGTTTATGAAACCTAAGAGCCCAGGAGATGTCAGGAGCCAACTTTAAGATATTCTGCCCCATGGTAGTATGCAGTGTATATAAAATGATTTCTAAAAGTAGAAATCTGAGTTCAAATGCCAGCCCCACACAAACTGTTAGAGTGGGGAAATGATGAAAAGTACTTCAGCTACTACAAGGACAAAGGACATAGTGTGGAAGCAGGGAAGGGACAGAACCTTCCGGAAGCAGAAAGTAGTGAATAAGACTGAGATGTGGGCGGGGTAGAGGTAAAGGTAGGATGTTTTAGAGAGCGGCATGAGGAATATAACCAACTACAATAGTAGCCACCTTTCCCATTTTAACAGTCTGTCACCATGCAAAATGATCACTGCAGTACTGTTAATAGTAGCTAAAGGTTGAAAATTGCATAAAGGTCATCAGTAAGGGAATATGTTGTATGTCCATCACTAATAGTCAGGCACCATTAAGTGTCTTCACTATACTTTTCCCCAGCACCCATATCTTCAGAGATCCATTCATGAGTACAAGCATCAAGCACAGCCCTGTAATAAGAAGTAATTGTTCTCAGATTGCGGCTCAATTTAAGTGTGAGCCCAAAATCCATTCATAGATCTATAATTTATATATGTATTTGGCTCATTTTAGAGGCATCATTTTCATTTTACATTAGGGAACATTAGCGAGCATCCTCCTGGAGCATAAGGTAATTCTATTGATAGTATAATTAATTTAGTCAGTGGTGTAGAATTTAAAATACTGTTGAGAAAGGGACATCATAAGATTGTACACCCACTATAAATCTCAATGCATGAATTATTGTACAGATTAAACTCTTAAGGGCATTATTTACACAAACCGTGGGAGTTGGTGATAGAGAAAACCTTCCAATAACATTCATGCACAATGGCGGAAGCCTGCCTATGATACTAATACATGGCATAACCAAGCAAGGAAAGCATTAAAATAGTAAGTACATGATAGCCTCGGGCCACCCTACGCATGACTACTACTGGTCTACAGGGCTTCAAGGAGCCCTCGTGGTGTAGAAGATAAGAGTTAGGCTGTGATCCACATGGTTAGCAATTCGAAACCACCAGGAGCTCTGAGGGTGAAAGACTGAGCTTTCTACTCTTGCAAATACTTACAGTCTCAGAAATCCACAGAGGGGTGACGTGAATCAGCATTGGGATAATGGCCGTGAGTGAATGGATGATCACTGGCCAGCACACATTATGTAACACACACAGTAGCCTGTTGCCAATGTGTATACGCATGTGAGACGAAGTCTCTACGGGGCATCTTGGCTGTTCTTTTTTCAACCCTTATTACATCCTCTCTGGAGCCTCAGTTCTCTCTCTATTCCATGGGCTCCCACATGCTGGTTTTCCCCTTACCTCAGACATTCTACAGTTGGCCCATAAAGTCATTTTCCCGACACATCCTATAATCCTGGCAACCTCGTCTTGATAAGACTTTGGGTGAAATTCTAACAATACTTTTCATTTTTATTTTGTCTTGTCGCAGCATGTCGCAGCATGTAACACTTTCTTGAAGATTTCTTCTTGGTCTTCACCAATCCCCTTTATTAATTTGTTCCCATTTCTCTGCCCTTTATTCTCAGTCTCAAGTGCAGCTATTCCTCCCTCTGCTTAAACCCTAGTATTATCAGGCCTGAAGATAACACCATGAGTCCTCTCCTTATGCTGTAACTCTTAATACATCTGGAAGATCCCATCTACTCCTAGGATTGCAGCTAATGATTTATGACACTGGAATCTATCTATAACTTCATCTCATTCTTAATATAGAGATCTTATGCAATTATTTAAGGAAGGTCTCAATGTAGATGGCTGAGACTGTCAAAGGCCACCAGACATGAACTCCTGTCTTCTCTCTAAACCTGTTTCTCCTGTCTTCTCTCTTAAGGAAATTAGAATAATACCATCCACCCATTTAGCTATCTACATCAGACACAAAAAGTAATTCACAATCAATCTTACTTGATGCCCTGAACTCTTGTCCTTATTCCAAAAACTACTACAAAATGAATATCTCTAGAATCTCCTTTTTTGCACTGATGAAATATTTTTAATAGACTAATTTGTTTTCACCCACAGATCTGCAATAAAAACCAACTAGTACCTCTGCAACCACTTTTGTATTATCTACGACAAATACTTCTCATTAATATTTGATAAAATACTTATCTCCAGCAAATAAATTTCTTTTACCCACAGAACTGCAATAAATCCTCCCTCTTACAAGATTTTCAAAGTAATCTTTTAAAAATGCAGGTTTGTTCAATTCAGTTTTATTAAAATTCTATAAGGGCTTCCATTTTCTTCTATGATATATTCAAGAGTTTTATGAGTACTACAATCTAGTAACTGCATTCATTGAAGAACATCTAAGTCTCAAGTTGCAATATTGAAGAATTTCATGAGCAAAGTTTTGAATGATGCAGGAAACATCAAAAGGAGATGGCAATAATACACAGAGGCACCATACCAAAAATAATTGGTCAAAGTTCAACAATTTCAAGACCTACCATGTGATAAGGAAACAATGCTAATAAGACAATATTGACGGACGATCTTTATGCTCCAGCAGGATGATCAATAAGACTCTCTACCATAAAGTAACAAGGAGGTTTTGAAAAAGAGCCAAAGGCAGATTTAATAAGCAAAAACATAGTTCGTAGAATGGGTTTCGGTCTTACAATACTAGTATCCAATACTCGATATTCACCTTCAGGAAGGGAACACAGACGATATATGTACTATAACAAAGTGTGATAAAGAAGTACGATGGTGTCTGGCTATCAGGCAAAATAGTGTCTGAGGTCTTAAAGGATTCTTTCCAAAAGAGCAGCCATCTAAATGAGATGTCAACTAAGTCCACATGGAAGAAGCACACCAACATCAGTGACCACAGAATTATAAACCATATAATCCAAAGTCAAAGGAGGGAATAATATCAGAGGCTAAATTGTGAGAATCTGGCTAGCAGAAGGCCATAAATGGCAGTGGGAGTCCAAGATACATTTGTGGGAACTACATAGGAAATAAACCTCCCGTAATTTTCTCAGTCCATAATAGAGGTATGGGAGAAATGTGGTTACCAAATAGAGTGCATTGGAGGGATGATTATAGAAGATCAAAATGATAAACCTGACTTGAGTGGTTAAAACCTTGTCAGCTGATCCCCGCTCTAATGCATGCTGGACCTGATTTGGTTTTCAACATTTTCTGTATTTGGGTTTTGAGTGGTTTTTTTCCTTTTTTATATTGGGGTTTATCTCAGATGTGTTGTCATTGAGGTCATCCTCTTGAATTTTTCCCAAAATGGTTTCTGTCTCCCAGGATATGAATCCCAGGATTGGTGAACCTACGGGAACAGCAAGTAGAATACGGATTTTTGAGGGGCGAAGTGGGGGATGGGAGCGGGAAAGGGAGGTGATGTTAAGAGCTCAGGAAGGAAAAGAATGCTTCAAAACCGACTGCGGTAGCAATTGTACAATATTGCTTGATGTGATTGAACTATAGAATGATATGATATCTGTATTAACTCCAACAAAATGGTTTGGGGTGGGGGAAGACATTGGTATTGAAGGCAAAAAATACAAGGTGCATTGAAGGCATTAGGAAAAACAAAGTCCCAGGAAATGGCAGAATACAAATTGAAATGTTTATCAAGCCTAAGCAGAGATGGAAGCATTCAGTATTATGCCAAGAAATTTGGAAGACAGTTCCCTCTCTAACCTCTTTCCA